CTGCCCATCACCGGGCTGGGTGTCCATCTCCCGCTCTCCAAACTCCCTGTAGGTTTTTCTCCGGGAACAACTCTCCAGTGCCAGTCCCTTTYCCCCCTCTCTCCGGGTCTATCAGTGCTGCTAATGAGATCTGCTCATTTAACCCAGCCGGGGCAGCGGGACAGCCGAGCAGCCTCGGGGATGTGAATCACTCCCCAGGCAGCCGTTGCCCAACGCGGCAGCGCCCGCCTTGCCCGAGCCGGTTGCTGATTGCCGGCGAAGGCACCGAGATAACGCGGGACGTTTGTTAACATCTCCTGCCTTACCAAGAAGCARCTCCCAGACTCTGCCCTACTTTCCTCACCTCCTCCTGCACCCCGTGCCAGCGAGTTGGCTGCCATGTGCGGCAAATCCCAACTTCGAGACATTTGCCGAGCTCTGCAGATGTTCTCCTGCTTTTCCAGTCCTGCCACCACCGGGCTGCTCATGCAGGAAAACACCGGAGCGCGTCAGCGCTGGCTTTTCTGGTCTTGGAGCGGCGGCAGCCTGCGGGATGCCAGACTCTCCGGGGAGTTTGGACGCGGGTAAAAGCTCGGCTGTGTTTGCTTTCATGGTGTGGAGCAGCAGTTAAGCCCGTCCGGCCGGCAGGACACCGGGGAGGGTGCAGGGCTCGGCCGGCCGGGGGTCCCCGAACGGGGGTCCCCAAACCCCCTCCTCCCCCGGTTCACCCCAGCCAGGTGTGAGGGTGTCGCGGCTCCKGCGTGTTCCTGCTCAGCCAGGGGCTGGCCCACTCCGTAAGCAAATTTGGGGAGCTTGCCCGGGCACGGGCCTCGCCGGCGGGCATTTGGCAGCGGGCTCACKGCCGCCTGACGTCAGGAGCAGCAACATCGCCTTTCTGCCAAGCAACAGGCGAGACSGAGCCACCGTGGCCAGGACAAGGGGCTCGCAGACCCCCCTTCCCCCCGGTGRGGCTGTGGGGCTGCTCCGCTGTGTTTCCATCCGGTGCCGGCGATGGGAGCGCTGTGCCCGGCAGGGAGAGTGGGATTGTCCCGCTCCGGCTGCTGCTCCTGTGGCTGCGATAACCCCCTGTCCTCTCCTCTSCCCCTTCCTCTGCCTGAGCACTGTGACAGGGATTTCTCTGCACCCCCTGCTTGCACAGGGACGTGTAAGGGGAGTCTTAGAATCCCAGAATGGCTTGTGCTGGAAAGGACCTTAAATCTCGTCCCAAYCCCCTGCCATGGGCAGGGACAACTTCTACCTGACCAGATTGCTCCAAACCCCGTCTGACCAACCTTGCACTGCCAGGCATCCCCCCTCGTGCTTTTCCTTGCCAGGTTTTACATGGAATTCATGCACAGGAGTGACTCCATGTGCATCCAGGGCCTGAGAACATGGCATGTGGGTGTAGATCTGTTCCTCCAGTGCATCCTGCCTGGTGTGGACAGGGGCAGGGAGGGCATCCTTGGCAGCAGCCGGGGCYGCAGGCAGYGTGGGATCCTCCCTGCTCYGCTCCCGGCCCTGTGCTGGGGCGGAGGCGCCGGAAAAGGGGAAAATCAAGTTTTTAATTCCAGCCTCTGACTTGCGGGAGAGCCCGAGAGCGCGAGAACCGCCGGCGGTGGGTGCTGCCGGTCCTGGCCCCGGGGCAGCAGCAGGCAGGGAGCTGGTGAAGGCACGGATCCAGCATGGATCTGAGCCTGGTACAGCAGCTGCTGCTCCTTCCCTCTCACCAGCTGGTTCCCTGGGAGGGGCTGAGCTCGTGGGTTTGCTCTGGACTTTGCTGTGCCCACCTTTGTGGGGCTGCACCCCCCAAACTCTCCTCTGTTCCTATCCCAGCACTGGCTGGGTACCAGCAGAGCCCTGGGCTCGCTGCCTCCAGCTTGGCTGGGTGGAAATCTGCATCCCTGTCTCTCATCCATTCCCCTCCTCCTGCTGCTTCTGAATTTGSGCATTGCCTGCAGCTTTGGCTACAGGAATAAAATGGACTGAACCCTTCTAGCACTGGGGACTGCAGTTCCCCAAGCCAGGAGGGAGCAGAGCTGATAATTCAGATTATCTCCCTGCGTTGGAGGAGGTTCCCCAGCTCCAGAGCCTCRGGTCATCCCTACCTTCAAGTGTCCAGCGTGCATGTGGGCTCGCTCACACATCTGAAGGAAGTGCTTCACGTTGGTCTCATCCAGGATGATGTAGACACCCACTTTCCTCTTGAAGCCGGCGTCCAGCAGGTCCTTGAAGATGTCCACATCGGTGAACATGTCCATGACCACAGCGATGACCTGCAGAGGGGRGAGGAGAGATGAGTGTGGGTGGCATGGCCAGGGACAAGCCAAGGTACAGTTGGAGCTTGYTTTGTGAGAGCCAAAGCTGTCCCTGGAGGAGGTTGGGATTTGGGCTGGGGAAGCCCAGGATTGTCCCCAGCTCTGGCCAAACTGAGGGTGCACAGAAGGAGATCCCAGTCCCATTCCTCTGTGGTCACTGAAGAAGGTTTGCTCTCCCAGAGACAGGTGGATGTGGCACTTGGGGACAYGGTTTAGTGGTGRCCCCGRCAGTGCTGAGTCARTGGTTGGACTTGATGGTCTCAAATGTTTTTTTCCAGCACTAACAATGTCAGTGGTGGCCCATAGCACAATACACTCCTGAAAAGGTGCTTACTGAGGGAGAATCTCATGTTTCTGCCTTTAAAAAGCTCCACAAATTTCAGAGTCTGGTTTCTGGCTGAGAAGTTTGGTGTCCCTGTGCTGTTGGCATCGCAGGGAGCACCAGAATGGGAGAATTGTGATGCGGAATCACGGAACGGTTGAGGCTGAAAGGCTCTGTAGGGTCATTGAGCCCAGCCATTAAATGATGTGTCCATCTGTCCTGGTCCCACTGCCCAGCCCAGGGTGCTGCTCCTCCTGCTCAGTGTCCCTCCTTCCTCCCAGGCTGCGTGGAAGGAGCAGAGCCGGGATGGCAGTGCCAGCGCCCCGAGCAGTGACAGCTGTGTTTGTCACATGGCAGCGTCACCAACACCCACGAGCTGGAGCTGCCTTTGTACCCAGGGCATTTGCTGCCCTCCCAGCCACAGACGGGGCGAGTCCCATGGGTGATAGGGAAATGGAGCTGGGCCCTGTTGGGAATTCCACTGGAATGTCTGCCTGGGCACCAAAGGTCGCTCTGTGCCCGTGGATTTTGATTTTGTGGAAATGGCATTGCCCGTGGTGAGTGGCAGCTCAGGAGATCTGGGGCAGCTGCCTGCAGCACAGCTCAGCATCCCCGGGCAGCTCCACAGGGATTTCTGCCTTCCCTCATCCCAGGGAGGAGGAGGAGGTTTGTCATCAGGGTGCTGGCTTGTCATTGTCCCATGGTTGGAGACCTGCCAGCACTCCTGTGCCTGTGGCTGTTCCTGGCATGTGCCCTGGGCTGGGGGGACATGGATTCTCTGGGCCACTCGCCCTTCCAGGAGGGCTCTGCTGGCCACTGCACGTAGCTGAGCCAGGGAGGACACCTGCATGGGGAGGTGACACGAGACCCCAGGATGCTCCTCCCTCCCTCCCTCGGGAAGGAAGGAATTGGGATAGTTCTGGGTGCTTGCACACTCAGACACGTCCAGTCCGAAGCTCTCAAAGCACYGAGCTGCCTTTTAATTAGTTTTGTGCCACAGGACGTGGAGAGCTTTAATTAAGCAGAGGATTGTTATGACGCTGCTGGCTCTTCCCTTCCTTTTCTGCAGGCAATGGGGGGAAGAGCGAGGCTGWGTGGGGAACCCCAGCCCTGCTGTCCCCGATGCCACCCTGGCATCCCCAGCCCTGGGGGGACTTTATRAYTCTGCTAATGGATTTTAACAGAACTCCCATTTATCCTCCCCAAGAACCTCAGACTTTCCAGGRAAAGGCTAAATCCTCACACCTTTGTGCCTCCACTCAAGTGTTCTGCTCATCCTCATTGCCCTGGTGAGGAAACTTAGGCAGGAAATCAGCTGCTGGCTTTGCATGGAGGTAAAATTGGGATGGTTCAGAGCTACTGTCAGAGTTCTGGTCTTGGATTTGCTGTGTGCAGCAAGAAATCGGGGAGGAGCTGAGCTGTGTTCCATGAGCCCTGGGTAAGGGGCACCTGTGGTGGGATGGTGCATGTCTGGCTTGGGAATGTGGGTTTGGTGGTGCAAGGTTTGGTGGTGCAGGGTTTGGTGGCAGAGGGTTTGGTGGCAGAGGGTTTGGTGGCACAGGGTTTGGTGGCACAGGGTTTGGTGGCAGATGATCTCCTCTTGCTCTGACACTGGTGTTCCGTGCTCCTGTCGCTTTGCCCGTGAGCTGCATTTTCCCCAGGAAAAGTTGAGAATTTGTAAAATGGGGATTAGAGTAGCGCTGACCTCTGTTCTGGAGGGAAAGGAGCATTTTCGCTTTGCAGTCCCAGCGTTCCCAAGGCCTTGGCTCTCAGCTGTGGCCCTGGAGGTGTGAAGCGGTTTTGCAGGGCTGTGGGCAGGGCACTGACCCCCACTCCAAGCCTGTCTCACACAGAGGGGATGAGCAGGCARGGCACTGCAGGCAGTGGCCCAGGGTGGCCAGTTTGGGTTTGGACAGGGGGAGGGAGCCCAGCTGTCACCCACGGGACCAGCCCAATCCCTCCTGCTTGCCTGGTGCACCCTGTCACCTATGGGACCAGTCCCATCCCTCCTGCTTGCCTGGTGCACCCTGTCACCTATGGGACCAGTCCCATCCCTCCTGCTCGCCCAGTGCACCCTGTCACCGCTCACCCCATCCCTCCCTCTGCGTCCCGCCTGCAGGACAGGCTCAGCCCCAGTTTGTCACCGGGATGTCACACCAATGTGCCAACACTGCCCTGGCAYGAGGTGGGCTGGGAGAGAGAGCGAGGGCGGCGCTGGCAGCGTTCCCACTGCGGTGACTGTCCTTGTCCAGCTGAAATCTGTGGCTGGGCTTGACCCCTGGGATGCCAAACCCTGGCACAGGGATAATCTGCAAAGATTGGAGGTCTGTCTGCTCCAGAGCGGTGAAATCCTGTGTGCTCTTTGCCTCCTGGGGTGGGCAGTGGGATTGTCTGGAGCAAACTGTGCCACCAGCTCTGAGGAGTGAGCCCTGTCCCTGTCCCTGTCACCTCTGACATCGCCCTTTCTGAATCCCCTTAGCTGCTGCGTGATCCCAGGAAGCTTTGCTATCCTTTTGCCGCTCTCCAGGAAGGTGCAGAGGAAATCAGCCCCAAATCTGCAGCTGGAGGCTCCCACAGCCCACGCAAGTGAAGCTTTCCTTGCCAGGATCCACTGGATACCGACGTGCTGGGTCCCAAATCCCCGAGGAGCAGTGAGAACTGTGTCCTCCTGGACACTCCGCAAAAGCTTTTGGGATTTTTTGGAGCAGCTTTGATGAGCACATAAACTGCAGGATCATGTTTTATAGAGGAAGTTGCAGCTCTTTTATTGTCTCACTGTGAATCACCAGATAATGACTTTTGGGGCACACCAYGTGGGCATTTAATAAATTAGGCAGGCACCAAGGCACAATTAGAGGAAGCGTGTTGGGATGGAGGAGAGGTGGGACAAGCACCATTAATAATTGCTCTCCCCTTTCATCCAKGAACGGCAGCAGGTTTTGTAAACAGTAATTAATAGGGCCTTGCAACCTTCGCTGGAAGTTGCTCAGGGTAATTATATCACCGCAATCCCAACCTGGAACCTCAAGTGCAGAGAGGAGGTCAGAGTCGCTGCTCTCTGCCGTGGCTTTGGGCCARGGTCAATGTTTTCATGCTCTGGTTTCTGGACAGAGAGAGCCGAGAGAAGAGGAGGAGGGAGATTTTTGTGTCATAGAATTGTGAA